CGCGCCGCCCCCTCAGCGAGAGCCCTCACTCACTCACTCACTCAAATCACGAGCAATGAGACATTCGCGTGCGAGCCGCGGGCTGACCTCGGGGTCAAACCACTCGACCTTGCGTTCAGAGCGATACCCCGGGCCGAGCAACCGCTTCCGCCTGTCCACACAAGGTATCGGATGATACTTTTCTTTTACGCCGTATTTGGAGCAGTTTAACCCTATTCGTACGTCGTGTCTTACTATAGGCTATCGTATCCATACGATGTGGGGAACTGGAACGATAACATTCCTTTTTAAAGTTTTAGTATGGGGTTTTACGGTGCTCGCAACTGCATTACATTCCATTAATGCTCACACATGGTAGAACCAATCCACTGACTGAAATAGGGGCAGGGTGGGGAACAAACGAAATAAACCTGCTCGTGACACTCTCCAACCACCCACGCTCGTACACAAATTTTCTTTATTAAGAACCCAAGCACGTAGAGGGTTGGACCGAGCGTCCATAAATCTGCTCCCGTTATGGGACAAGCTAAGACTACTATGAGGGGAACACGCATACTAGGTGTTTATGTATGTATATAATATGGTCCCTCTTAAGGACCAGCGGGCTAACCCAGATTTAGAGGGTTTCCAGAAATCTTGACCTACACCAAAAGTGGGCAATGCCCTACCTATAGGAGAAGTTTGGTTTCATTTATGAAAATATTTGTTTGGTTATAGAAAAAACTCTCCTTGCTTTTTAAAGAAACTAAACAAAGGGCAAAAACTTTACCTTCGATTTTCTCAAAACAGCATTTTTCGGGATAGCCCCCTTGTGCTTAAAAGTGACCCTATGTTTTTCAAGTATAGTATATAATATGTGTATATTAATGTATATAGCTTCACGTATACGTATGTGTATATGTATACAGATTCACGTATACGTATGTGTCTATGTATACAGATTCACATATACGTATGTGTCTATGTATACAAATTCACGTATACGTATGTGTCTATGTATACAAATTCACGTATACGTATGTGTCTATGTATACAAATTCACGTATACGTATGTGTCT